AGAGCGTCCGTGAACAGCAATTTTCAAGTCTTAATATATAAACCGTATATTCACCACACAAATAAGATATGAAAATAAAAAAACATCTAACACCTGAAAAAATGCATAATAAATCACTCACCTAAGTCAATAAATGAGTGCATAGAATGTATAAGCATGCAGCTGCCCTAATAGTGAGTAAGGCAATAATCACCTCATGAAACAATGATGAATAAAAGCAGCACACAATAAATATATATATATAGTTGTGTTCAAAATAATAGCAGTCAGACATCACTAACCTGTTCAATTACTGGTTTTGGTAGAAATAATATTTCTACATGGCAAATAATTTACTAGCAGGTGTAGTAGAGTAATAGAAATCCAACAGACCCAACAGTCATGACATGCATGCTGCTGATTCTGTGTAATTGAATCACTAATTGAAAGGGGCATGTTCAAAATAATAGCAGTGTGGAGTTCTATTAGTGAGGTCATTCATTCTTTGAAAAACAGGTGGCAGTTATTGCCCTTATTTAAGGAAGGACGGCAGCAAATGTTGTTCATGCTGGTTACAGTGCATTTCTCTCTGAAATTCTGAGGAAAATGGGTCGTTTCAGAAGAACAGCGTAACTTGATTAAAAAGTTGATTGGAGAGGGGAAAACATATAAAGAAGTGCAGAAAATGATAGGCTGCTCGGCTAAAATGATCGCAAATGCTTTAAAATGGCAACCAAAACCTGAAAGACGTGGAAGAAAGCAAAAAAAAACTACCATTCGAATGGATAGAAGAATAGCCAAAATGGCAAGGACTCAGCCAACAATCAGCTCCAGGAAGATCAAAGAAGGTCTAAAGTTACCTGTGAGTACTGTTACAATTAGAAGACTCCTATGTGAAGCCAAGCTATCTGCAAGAAGCCCCCGCAAAGTCCCACTGTTGAAAAGAAGACATGTGCTGAAGAGGTTACAATTTGCCAAAGAGCACATTGACTGGCCTAAAGAGAAATGGCGCAATATTTTGTGGACTGATGAAAGTAAGATTGTTCTTTTTGGGTCTAGTGACCGGAGACAGTTTGTCAGACGACCCCCAAACACTGAATTCAAGCCACAGTACACTGTGAAGACAGTGAAGCATGGTTGCTCAAGCATCATGATATGGGGATGTTTCTCATACTACGGTGTTGGGCCTATTTATCGCCTACCAGGGATCATGGATCAGTTTGAATACATCAGAATACTTGAAGAGGTCATGCTGCCTTATGCTGAAGAGGAAATGCCCTTGAAATGGGTGTTCCAACAAGACGACCCCAAACACACCAGTAAATGTGCAACATCTTGGTTCCAGACCAACAACATTGACGTTATGGAGTGGCCAGCCCAATCCCCGGATCTTAATCCAATAGAAAACTTGTGGGGTGACATCAAAAATGCAGTTTCTGAGGCAAAACCAAGAAATAGAGAAGAACTGTGGAATGTAGTCCAATCATCCTGGGCTGGAATACCTGTTCACAGGTGCCAGAAGTTGGTTGACTCCATGCAACACAGATGTACAGCAGTTCTCAGAAACAGTGCTTATACAACTAAATATTAATTAAGTGATTCAAAGGAAAGCAAAATCTTCAAACATTTTTCAGTTTATATAGTGAATGTTTGAGTTTGTAAAGAACAATACAAACACTGCTATTTTTATGAACAGTCTAATGTTCACTTTTCTTCGATTTTTTTAGAAGAACAACACAAATTTGATATAATTTTCTCTTCATGTTTTGATTTGGAATAGAATGTGTAGTGTTCCCAATGCATTTGTGTGTATGGAAATAAAAGTTATTAGAAGGATTTTGAGCTTTATTCACTATTTTCAACACACTGCTATTATTTTGAACACAACTGTATATATATATATATATATATATATATATATATATATATATATATAGAAACACTAGCAGAGTGAAAATATGACACAAAATATAACACTGTAAATATACACAAATATTTAAATAATTTGACATGAGTCCATCAACTGAGAAATATAAATAGTGATGAAGTGCAAAGTCCTTATTGATCCACCGAACTCACCACGTGAACAACATAATGATAATTGATTGAGTAAAGGGCACTCAGATATCACCATGTACTCCAGAGGAAAACCTCCCCCATTTCAGTGGCACTCATCAGATATCGTGGCCCATCCAAACCTGATAGGCAATAGCACTTATGGTGAGTGTCAGCGTAGTACAGATCATCAATCAACAAGCCCTTCATCAATTAGAGACTGATATGATGGAGGGACATCCTCCAAACTATTACACTTCGTAATCAAGGAAAGATGTAAAAGGAAACTCATAGCGTGATTCCATTAAATACCATTTATTGGGTAGAAAGTATTGCATTCACATAAAATAAATGAAACCATGCCAAAATATCCACAATAACCATTAAGGGTATCTGTATATCACATGAAGCGAGTGTTTCACTCAATCCTCCTCACTGCATGTGAGTGATACGTCACTTCCCGGGGGGATGTAAGGTGGATGCCTCATTACAGAATACTTTGTGCGGCCTGGCCCTGACACGTGTTCAAACCCTTTGATAAAGTCAGGTGATGAAACACGTGTCAGGGATGGGCCCCACGACCTATTCTAAAATATACAGTGTATTTATTTTAGAATGTAATATATACAGTACAATATATAAATATATACATATAAATACATTCATATATATCATCAGGGAAATATTTGGATGTTACCATGCTGTAGCTTACATAAAAAGTTGTTAAATACAATTTGAATGTTACAATGTATTTTTGTTTGTTTTCTATTTTTTATTTTGTTTTATTGATGTGTCCCCACTGGAGAGATTTCCTCTTATTTCTTGTCTTAGTGACCTTATAGGAACTGAGTACAAATTTCCCCCAAAAATGTAAAAAAAACAAAAATACATTGTAACATCCAAAATGTTCACAGTGTTAATCTACAGCAGTGGTAATGCAGGGCTGGTACCAGGTTTTCCAGATAATCTCTTTAATCAGAGATGTGATTTTCACAGGTACTGTTCTGATTGACAGCAGCTCCATCTGTACTTTACCATCTTACCTGATCTTACTTCAGCCAGCCCCAGGAGCTCTCTAAATCATATGTGTCCCTGATTAAGGACAAGGTCAGATGGCTGCTTTTAATGCCGTATGTGACAAGAAGTAAAGCCTACCTGAATGACATTTAGTTTGCTAAATAGGGGGTGTATCATATAACATGTCCTTATATTTATTGTTAATTTTTAAAAATGTTCTTTTTGTATTATCTGTTGCATCTCCTGCAGCCCCTTTACAGCCGGTTCCTGTTTACATGTACTCCAGCAATGGTTGCATGGCAGTTCTCAATGGTGGACAATGGCTGTGTTGATACACAAGTTTGCAGTCTCCTCCATCAGAAGCTGGTGTGACAAATTTACCACACAAATGGTAGAGATGATGTTCTAGTGCACATGTAAGCAGGTTGAAATCAGGGACGGACTGACCATTTGGAAACTGGGGCACTGCCCGAGGGCCCGGGGTCAGTAGGGGGTCCCATGAGATACCCCTGGTACCTTTTTGATAGGCTTTTTTGAGTTTGGGCAAGGACACAGGGGCCCCATGATCCCCTATTGCCTGGGGGCCCCATGAGTTGTCAGTCCGCCCCTGGTTGAAATGTTAGTTAGTTAGTTAGTTAGTTAGTGAGAGAGATGTTGCCCCAGACAGGAGAGAAAGAGTTAACCTGTTTTCTGCACTGTTTGCTGAGCTCTGCCTCTCTTCCTGTGCTGATAATAAAAGGGGAGGGCTCTTCCGAAACACAGAAACACACATGGGAAAGAGAACACAGAACCACAGCATGTTATCTCCAGCTGCTTGCTGTTGCCGTCACTGCTGATGTCATTGCCAGAGTCTTTCCTGCCAGTCTCCTGTGCCATGCTGAGTCTGGAGTTCCTGATAAAGATCACCTAGCATTGGAAGCCTACAACCATGTACTGTAGAAGGACTGCTGGGACCTACAGTCCACTCTGAAGAACACCAGTTGCTGAATACTCCCAAAAATGGACTCTCATAATGTGCAGGTATGCTGGGGCAGCCACAAGCCTGAGTTATGGATTAGGAATGTAGGGAAAGACTATGCATTTTTTTGTAATGCTGAGAGTTTTCAGTAAAGCTTTTGAAATTTTCTTCTTGTCTGGTCACATGTTACTAAAGAGGTGCAATGCAAGTAACTGGCACATTCTATTCTATGCATGGGTCAATAAAGTACACTGGGGTATAAAAACAGCACTGCAGGAGTAATGTCATGCGGAGCAAAACATGTGATTACCAAGGGTAATGGAGGTTTACCAAGTAGCTTGCCATGAAGCATGTGCTTGTGATAGGTGTGACAGCCTCTTGCAGCAGTTGTTGTCGGCACTCTCTCCATGAGTGGTCTGTCTCCCATAGTAATGGGAGCAGATCAGCTCTGCAGAGGTCCATGGCCTGTGCACAGGTATGGAAGAGGAAGAGTTACTACAGAGCACATATGGAGGTGCTCTGTGGGGCCCCATTCCATTAGTTGTAGTAAAGTAGTGTCAAATCACTGGACAGGTGGAGTGGGCATTGGCTCAGTGTGTCCCTCCTAAATGCAACACGTTACAGAGAAGGTGTATGTTGACACGAGGACAAGAGAGTTAACTGGAGGACAGTTTATTGTTCAAGTATACACGATGTAGAGCCATTTCTAAAGTCAGATGTTCGCCATTGAGTTATCCCCAAAAAGATCTTAGCCTTGTCATTGATGGATATGGCACATAAAAGGTACCCCAAGGTGAGTGACCCTGTTCAAGGTGCCTAGCGTAGGCCAGAAGACCCCACCCCGGGGTAGGTCTCTAATGTAAACTACACTTGGTGCCCAACAAGGAGGGAAACATGGAGGAAGCACTACCCACAACAGCCCAGCCCCCCTTACACATGGTTGGCAAATAGTGGGGATGCCAGTAATGTTTGGGCCTTCTGACCTTCTCACCTTTTGGATCTTCTCTTTTCACTTTTCTTCACACATTTCACGAGACAGCACACCAGAAATGCCATCGACATGAGCAGGATGATGGCGCAGCTCACAATAGAGGCAATGACTGCCACTTTAAATCCAAACGTCTCATATTTTGATAGGGCTGTAAAACAGGAAATAATTTATAGTCATGGATTCCAAATGCAAGAATCATTTCATCATTAAGCTATTGTACAGAGTCCTTTTTTCTTCCCTGGCAGAGCTGATGTTTAGCTTCAAAATGACGAATTATGTTAACTTCTGGATGCCATTCAAAGCTGACATTGTATTTAAGGCACCTCTTAAGTAGGGTCCTATTTTTATATTCCTTGTGTTCATGGCTGCCTCCGATGGATATTAATTTGAAGCAGTCAGCCAAATAGCCTATGGTGATAAATATAAATGTATAATGAAGGCTTGAGGAATCTTACACTGCTGCAGTCTGGCAGTGTGTGTAGTTTTATATGACAGTCACTCAAAAGCAGGTACTTTCTCTACCTGATGATGGGACAGTTGATGTATGCAATACGTATATGGGAAATGTAAAGCATTTCTGGGGATTTAAATTGTAACTCCACTTTTTGTTGAAAAAAAAAAAAGAAAAAATCCCATGTACATTGCAAGGATTTTAACAAACTTTCTGTTGAGTCTTACCGTTTTTTTTGCTCTGAAGAAATGGGTCACATTGAAATCTAATCTGATTCTGAATAGAAGTGACCGTTTTATTATAATCAGCTGGGTTTTGATTTACTAAAACTGAAGAGTGCAAAATCTGGTGCAGCTCTGCATAGAAACCAATGAGCTTCCATTTTTTCTGTCAAAGCTTAACTGAACAAGCTGAACTTAGAAACTGATTGACTACAATGCAGAGCTGCACCAGATTTTGCACTCTCTAGTTCTAGTAAATCAACCTCTCAGTGTTCCGATGAGAAACATTGCAGTGTCTGTATACCCTTAGAAGTTTTTGACCATTGGGGAGTATATCACCAAAATTGAAATTCTTATTGCCGATTGCCGAGGATGCCTAAAATCTGACTTGTATTTTAGTGCATATTTATGTGAAAATTAGTGAGCCAAACACACAAAAGGAAATGACATTTCTAGGGGCATTCTGTACACCAAAGATATACAGAACTCCTCCAGGTTGCCATATTGCATTGGATTTTTCAGAGTGAAAAGGAAATGTAATTGTGTAATAACATTAAAATGTTACTAAACCCAGGACCCTGCATCCACTATATCTGGTCTCCCACAGTACACACAACATGGAAATGCAATTATAAACTGCTAAATCCCTTTTCTCATCAGCAGTATATAGCAGACGTGTGACTTCTATGAGTGTCCAGCAGAGCACTGATTAAAGCTTATAGGAGTTTTCATTCTCTCCTGATTGCCCTTTGAGGCTGCATAACCCCCGACCCTCTGTCTTGACAGTGCTATTTGGCCCTGTGTTGATCACATGCACCCTCCCAAGACAAAAAAAAAACTCTCTAGCAAAACTGAGCTTGAGCAGCTTGCCCCCAAGGCTCTGTTCTATCAACAGATGGATTGGAGACAGTAGAAGAAGGGGAGGATCAGAGGAGACAAGATCAAACATCCTTTTGACACAATGCAGAGGAATAACCCCTTAGATTCCACAGTTAGTATAACAAGCATGCTTTACTGCACATGCAGACCTATTATACTGGCTTGGGTTTAGTGACACTTTAACCTCTTCACGCTGACCATACGCAAATATGCAGCCTCTCGGTGGCTGGGCCTTGATGCAGAGTGGCTACATATTTGTGTACCATTTATAAACAAACGTGCTGAGAGCGCGCGCCTTGCACGCTCCCAGCATGTGTAGGCACCCCACGGAAAGGTCCTGATCTCTCCTTGTGATCGGGATCTTTCTGATCATGTGAGGGAGGAGCCTGCCGTACTGAATTCATGCCGTTACATCCTCACGGAGGTCTGGCAGCCATCTTTGTGAGTGTTTTTGCCATTTCTGTTTTTCCCATGTAGATGTTTTATCTATTCAATAAATAATTATTACACCATAAGTGCTCCTTTTTGTGGCTCGTTTTGCGAGCTATTTCCCCTAAGGAGGTTTGTGTTTTTCTGCTGGTTTTGTCCGTGGTGGAGAGGTCTGCTGGAGTCATCCCTTAATACAGTGAGAGGCCAGTGATGTTCATTTCCATACCATGAGCATTTCGGTGGACGTTTCCCTACCTGTGGAGGAGCGGGTTATATTACTATGCGCATTTAATATGCGCTTCTGGTGAGTGCATTCAAGAGCAGTATTTATCACAGAATCACCTTTCACCTCTTCATCAAGGATATTTTTTGGACTGTTTACTGTGATATTTATTTGGATGATTTTATTCATTATATATGTTGTACTGTTCACTATTGTCACTTAATATCAGTAACTTTGACATCAACCTTTCACTGTTATCTAGTGTGACATATATGGACCCCCATTATTCACTTTAGCGCCATTCTCAGTGCGCCTCACATACAGCTTTGTATTATCACCATTGTCACTTCATTTACTAGCACTTTCGCCTGGTACTAATATTATATATAGCGCTGCATCTTACGTTTTAAATTACAACATGGCGTGTACAGCCATGATATATGCTCTATTATTTTTTTTAGTTGCTGTATTTCTTTCCATGAAAGTTGTTATTTATTAAGCCCCGCCCCCCTAAAAAGACAACTTTTATAATCCTGTACATCCTGTACATGGTATGGTGGTGAAATGCTGCTTCCTGCTCTCACACTGCAGTGTTCTATGCTGGCAGAGCTGAGTAACAGCCACAATCCTTAATACAAATGCTAGGTACTCAGGTAAGTTACCATCTCATATTCTAACAGTGGTTACTCTATTGCTGTAAATTGAAAGCATACTTATGCTGTACATTTACTATTACCCATATGGGAGAAAAATATATTTGAACTATATTTTAAAAATATTCTTCCCAAATATATTACCATATATTTGAAATGCTACAATTTTGGCCATATTATATATATATATATATATATATATATATATATATACATACAATGCATGTTGAAATGCGTTTGTAATACAAACTACATGATTTTTTTTTTAACTGTGAAGAATATATTTAAAAAATATATATATTTTTAAGTATATTCTTCAGATTTTTTTAACATAAAAAGTCATTTTAACATATATGTTTACATATATTTGTAAATGCACTCCAAAAATGTAGATTTGTATTTTAAAAGACATACAGTATATTTGAAATGTATTTTAAAAAATATTTTTCATATATTTTGTAATAAAAACGCATTTCAACATGCAGTGTGTGTGTATATATATATATATATATATATATACATATAATTATTGAAATATATTTTGAAATATACTGAATATGGCCAAAATTGTAGCATTTCAAATATATGGCAATATGCAGTATTTGGGAAAAAAAAATATATATATTTTTAAATTCTCTTAATTGAGTTATATAGTAGAGAATACAAAACAAAGCCTATTGGGCATACCTAGGCTTGATCAACTCACAATAATAATAATAATAATAATAACAAAAGCAAACAAACAGAGGAAAAACATAACACACAAATAGGGTAAACAACAAGGGAAAAATATTTTTAAAATATATTTCAAATATATTTTTCTTCCATGTGGGTATATCTGCCAAAGGATTTGTAATTTTGCACAACTATTCTGTATTGATCTGACTTGCAATGGACAGAATGGAGGAGGAAAGGTAACAGAGTAAACCGCAAAGATGGAAAAAAAAAAGCTTAGTTGCTGAACCAAAAAAATAGCAGCATTACTGGACTAGCTAAGTATGTGGGGAATATTGGGTGCTGGAGCAGACCCCTGCTAAGCACTATAGGAGGAGGTGAACCACACACAGAAAATACCATCATTTTGGAAGGATGGGCGCTCTCGCAGACTCTGTCTGGAATCATTGGCTAATTATGCTTAACTCAACAACTTTCTTGAACCTGAAGCACCCTGGGAGGGTTGGATCTTCTTCATCTGTTTCCTCTTCTCTTATTTTCTGTTTCCTAGGCTACGGTTGCCTTACTAACCTTTTGCATACCTCTTGCCTCCTATTTAGGCTTCATTAAATGCTTATGCATGCCAATGAACAATGAGACAAATGAAACTAGAAAAGTTAATTTGTTGTAAAAAAAAAACTTGTGCACCGTTTACAGGTCGCTAATTTCTTAGGTGTAAACACAATGCAATCGTCTCCGGTGAAATATCAAGGTTGCTCATTACATTATGAAAATGTGTTCTTCCCATGGATAGCTGCCTTCTTTATTTGTCTACATTGCCACATTCAATGGATTTGTTTAAATGTTTGAAACGGCTGATTAACTAGCCCACAACTCAGGAGGCTGTTCAACATGAAACTCCCAAAGGGCTCTATTATAGCGTGGGCTAGGTGTGGCAATATGAAAAAGGTTTAGTTCCGCTTTAACAGACCGGTCACATGAAGCCCGACTTTAAAATCGTGCGACTAAGGGCTTGTTCACACTTGGCTGTTTTACCAACGCTTGCCAAATGCCCCTATAGCGTTTGGCAAGTGTTGGTCCGGCGTTTGCGGAGCGTTTTTTAACGCTCGGCAAACGCTCCGCAAACGCCGCATGCGCGGTTTAGCAGCGGTTGCTAGGTTAATAACGCCCCACAAACGCCTATAATGCAGTTTGAGTGGTGTTACCACTCCGCAAATGCCCTGCAACCGCGTCGCAACCGCACCGCAAACGCCGGCCTGGCATTTGCAGAGCAGCACCATAGACGAGAATAGCAGGCTTCAACGCCTCCTGACTCGACCAGAGGCTTCCGTTTTGCCGCGACGCGACGCAACGCGACGCAAACGCTTCCGTTAGAACAGCACCATGTGCTGTAATATGCAGAATTGGCAGAGGCATTTGGGAAGCGGTAAAAACGCTTCCCAAATGCCTCTCTGCCGCCTGCACACAACGCTAGTGTGAACGTAGCCTTAGAGTGAAGTCACACGGTTTCAAAGTGCGATTTGCAAGACATCTGACACAGATGTGTATGCAAATCGCACGAAAAGTAGTGCATGCACTACTTTAGAAATTGGAGAGGCTCCGACCAAGTCGGAACCG